CGTAACGCCCCCGGTTTTAATATTCCCGCTCCTCCTATCTTACTGGAAAAGGTGGTTAAGATATAAGCGGATAATCTTTTTTCTGTTTTAGAGTTTTTCTTAAGGCGTTTTGTTTTAGGCTATATCGGGAACTACGGTGGTTCCCGTAATAGCCCCGGTTATGATTTTCCCGCTCCTCCTACCTTACCGAAGGTGGTTAAGATATAAGCGGATAACCTTTTTTTAGAACCCGCTCCTCCTACCTTAGTAGTTAAGACGTAAGCGGATAACCGTTTTTTAGAACCCGCTCCTCCTACCTTAGTAGTTAAGACGTAAGCGGATAACCTTTCTCCCTTTATAGAGTCTGCTTTAAAGTGTTTTGCCTTAGGCCTATATAGGACCTAGTATAGTACCCGCGCTATTCCCACTCCTCCTACCTTACCAGAAAAGATAGTCGAGACGTAAGCGGATAATCTTTCTTTAGAGCCTTTTTCGAGGCGTTTTATTTTAGGCCTTATCGGGAACTAGTATAGTTCCCGTACTGCCCCCGAGTCTAACCCTATTATCCCTACTCTTAATTCCCTTACCCTGTTAGAAGAAGTAATAGAGGTGTAAGCGGAGGACCCTTTTTACGCCTGTTAGCGAGAGGCCTACGGCGATAATACCATGTATGGATAGTAGTCTAGGAGTAGTAGTATCCTTCGTTTTAAGAATCGTGTTTTTATACTAGACTACTCTAGCCTCCGTTAAAGGGTCCTGTAGTGTTTCTATAATAGGCCTAGCATGGGGTATTATAGGCTTACACGAACTATTAAGAGGATATCGGATTTTTACTTTTAGGATTATCTCCTACGCGATATACGGTAGTTTATACCCACCTATACTATATATTAACGCACTAAACTGTGGCACTATAAGCTATATAGCGAGCTAGCGAGTCTCCTAGTACCTTAGCGCCCCTTTATAGAGATATCTATTAACTTTATCACGGGCCTACCGCCGGTTTATAGCGCGACTATAGATATGAAATAGGATACTATCCTTATAGTAGTATACCGCCTAATAAATTATTTTATTTATATCCCTATAAGCGGTGCCCTGATAGTAGAAGGACTTGCTAAGTCCCTGTAGTGTTATGTTTTTCGCACTTTTAGCCTGTCTGATAGTATTATATTAGACCGAGGCTCGCTATTTATAAGTCGTTTTTAGATAACCTTATATCGCTGCCTTGGTACTATAAGACGCCTATCTATAGCGTGGTACCTATAAATGGATAGATAGATAGAGCGATAGCACTAGAACCTCGAGTATTACCTGCGTGTATTCTATTCGCAGGAATAGGATACCTAGGTTAACCGATTACCGCTCGCAGAATTCACCTATAATATAGTGTGGCACTCTACGATATATTATACCCTATCCGATACCCTGATAGGCTATAATCTAAGGGGACCTGACGAAGTATAGCTTCCGAGGGTAGGCGAGGTCCGTGCCGCCGAAGCTAAGACCCGGGCGGAATACCTTATAGCCTAGCGCCGGTCTATCTCGGACCTTATTAAGAGGGCGTAGGCCTCCTACGAACGGTATTATAATAATAGCTATACCTAGCGGAGGTTTAAGGTGGACGAGTACGTCTTACTATCCACGAAGAATATCCGATAGAAGAGACCCTCGAAAAAGCTTAGCGATAAGTTTATCGGGCCGTATAAGGTGACTAAGATCGTCGGTATATATAGCCTGGCCTACTAATTAGAACTGCTAAAGGCTATAAGAATTTATAACGTCTTCCCGGTTTCCCTGCTAGAACTATAGAGGTCTCGCGATAGGTTATAACTGGAACCACCACCTATAGTCGATATCGAACCGGATTTGGATAAGTACGAGGTCGAAGCTATCCTAGACTATCGATATTAGGGTATACGGTGCTAATACCTGATTAAATAGGCCGGTTATAGCGACGAAGAAAACACTTAGAAGCCGAAGCGGAATATCCCCGACGAACTCGTCGACGCCTACTTTAAGGCGAGACCATCAGGGAACTAAACGGGTTTATACCCTGCCCCTATAGGAGACCTTATAAACACGACGTAAGGACGTTTATCTATTCTTTCCCCCTCCTTACGGATAATAAGACTTACTAGGGACTAAATGGGTTTATACACTATCTATATATCGGCTATATTAACCTAGAAAAACCCTTTAATAGGTCGTGGAGATAAATTCTTAGACAGGGACCCCCCCTTAATCTAGATAGGCACTATATAGGTATTATCGCCTCGGTTACTATATTCTTCCTTTTAAGCGCTTTAGTCTCGATCTCTGTTCCTCTTCTTAAATGCGACGCCCCTGACCCCGTTCTAATTCTTCTAGTATAATAGCTTATCGCCTCGAGCTCTACTTTTCCCCTAATTAACCGTTATAATAGAACACGATTATATTATAGCGAAGTATAGTTAGGACCGTTAGGGTTATGATAGGAATATCCTAAAGCTAGTAAAAAAAAAAGGGGGGGGAAACCTAACCCGAAGGCTAGTAAAAAACCTGAAAAAAAAAAGAAAAAAAACCCGTTTCCTCTATATATACCGTCCTAATTACGCCCCTAAGAGAGCGTCCTCAAACCCCACTAACTTATTATCTAGAGGGGTAGGCTCCCGCCTAGCCACCTCACCGTTATTATCCTCTATATATACCTGGTATCGAACTGCTATGGCCTAGTACTATAAAGGATTAGTGAGGATACTATATAGGGTTAACGCGGGGATATAGTAATACTTACACGACGACTCTCGTTTAATCCACTGTTCTCGATAGCGATAACTAAAACCTTTTATAGCTACTGGGTAGCGTTCTTACCGGCGATAGGGAGCTATTATATATATTAGAAAACAGGACTATAGAGTAGTCTATAAAGGGAGGGACTATAGCTATAGGGATAATAGAGAGATATAAAGGGGAATAAAGGCGTATCGGGATAACGATAAAGATATATAATTTATTACGCGGCACTTAAGGCTATTATGCTTAGAGTAATAGTGGCACTTATTCGTCCGCCGACTATTATCGGTATAACGGCACGTTACGGCCTTAATAGTATGCGTTTTTTCCTTAAAGTTAATCGCTACTAACTTACCCATATAACGTATATAGGGGGCTTTTAGATCCCCGCCTATACTGATATCCACTACCTTCTAGCGTAGAGTGACTAACGGCGTAGTAGTCGATGATAACGTAGCCGTAGTAGGAGTAAAAGGCTCTGGCGTAGTTAGCTACGGGGTAGACTATTTAGCGGACTACGAGGTTAACGCCGTAACCACGATCTTAATCCTCTTAGAGGACCATATTATACTCGCGGGAGTAACGGCGCGTTTATTATTATTATCTTCCTAGGAAGGTATAGTAATTATACTAGACGTATGGTTAGCTAGTATTATAGACTAGAGACACGAGGAAGCACTTATAAGATAATAATAGATAAATTAATTAAGACTATAAGATTATTAGTACGCGATATCTTAGATTAGGTAGACTTACTAGATATAGTATAATCGGAAATTAAGTATAGAAGAGGGAGAAAAAGAATAGGAAAAGAGAATAACGGTAGGATTACGAAATATCCCCCCTTAATAGTAGTTATATAACGCCTATTTTTAGTATAAAGAAGGAAGCTACGAACTCGCGGAAGGAGTAATATCGGGCCCCACGTAACACCACGCGAGGGAGTCTTTATAGATAGATAAAAGGGATAACCTAAAAGGATAAAGGGGTAAATCCGAAGGCCCGGGAAAGAACCACCCTAGAACCTATTAGGAGCCCGGCGTAGGATATTAGCTTTAGGGGCTTAGTTAATAGGACGAAGGGAGGGGGTACGTACCCGGGTTAGAGCCACGGCCGAAGAGGCTCCGTGTAGGAACCTGTCGGGGACTTATTAGGGTCCCGCCGGGGGGGGGGCTCTGGTTCGGGGCACCGGGGGAAATAGGGACGGGCTCGGAGGTTAGGTTCTAGAGGAGCTAAGAGGCCGGCACGGATCGGGCGCTCCTAAGGATAGGAGTATCCGGGGGAGGTCGCTATATTAGGTGCCTATAGTAATAGTTATAATAGGTCCTTAGTGTAAACCTATAGGAGTCTAGGTATACCTAGTCCGAGACCCCTTAAGGTATAAATAAAGTAAGTTATTATATAGTAAATAGGATAGTCCCTTGAAGTAAATAAGGTAGCCCTTAAGGAAGCAAATAAGTAGCCCTCGAGGAGTAGAGCATAGTCTTAAGGAGTAAGGGAGCCTCCCCCTTTCGGAGGGGAGGCCAGCGATTAATCTGACTCTTTGGCTATACCTATATTCTAACCCTATTATAATCCTATCGTGGTTATACCTGGTTCCTTACCTAACCCTACCTTTTCACTCTTTGCGACTACCTATTTGATATTAATAAAGTTAATAAAAAAACTATTAATAGATGGGTATAATAATAGCACGAAAATACTCTATATGAGAATATAGAGTGGTGGTAAAAGGAAAGAGATATAATAACGTGAAGGCCACGAAAAAGAGGGGAATAACACGTTAACGTGTTATAACGCGACTCGTGAAGTCTGGAGAAACGTTTCCCCTATACCGGTATACCGGTATACGGGTATTTAAGTATTCGACCAATTAAAACTTAGCCCTACACCTACCCTTAGCTTAACTTTTCCTAGCCACCCCCCTATACCTACCCTTAGCTTAGCCTCGCGCTTGGATATCAGTTTATATATAGTCTTACACGGAACGCACCCATCATATTCAGTGAATCTATAGTGTACGAAGTACATACTCCGTATTCCGTGCAATTCGGGTGTATCTATAAAGCACAGCACCGAGAAAATCTGATCTACCTACGTCATAATTCAATACGCGTGGTGGGGTCTCTGACTAATGCGCTTTCTGGGCACTACACGCATTTAAGGTAGGACACGACCCAGGAGCTCTTTTCATGGCGTTCTTCAACTTCCAGAAATGATACACAGTTTAACATTTATCTGGGCCTCTTGAGGGAGGATGATAGTTACTAGGGCGGCCGTCTAGTCTCGTCGTGCCCTCGTGCATCGAGGGCAAGGTGAGACTGAGACTTCGTACGATATCTAGAATCAAGAGTTCGTTATGGAGCAAAGGGGACAATTCACGAGTCTATGCCATCATCGCGGTGCCGGTATCGTGACCAGTGTCTCTCATCCTCCCTCGGCCCACAGTCCCTCTTAATCCACTTCGGGAACCGGCAGATGGTCCACAAGCTTCAGATGCGTCAACCCCAACTTGGCCAAAGCCTCAATGGCGTTCCGATCTCTAAGCTCTTGCGCCTCCTCCTCCGACACGAGAACAAAATCATATCTCAGCAGCCACATCCCTCCCTCGCCGCCGACGTCGACGCCGTACTTCTTCGCCGTCTCACCATCCACCTTGTCCAAGTCGACAACGAGGCTCTTCTTCACCCCAAAGACGGCGTCAGACGACTCGTAGGGGTCGCCGCGGATGTAGAGCGCCGTGACGAGCTTATCCCATTGGTCCTTCTCGAACGTGAAGTGCATGTGCGCCGGCCTCCAGCAGTGCCGTCCCAGAAGCCGGAGCAGTTTGCCAACGGGCCCGTCGTGCGGAATCGGGTAGCTCACGGGCCGGATGGCGCGGAACCGGAAAGTCCCCTCCGAATCGGAGACCATTACGCACCGTCCGCTCGGGACACCGCCGCGGTCTGCGTGCTGTACGTCGTAGTGGCCCGAGCTGTCCGTCTCCCATATGTCGATCTTGACGCCTGGGACGGGGTTCCCCTTGGTGTCCTTCACGGTGCAGAGGGCTAGCAAGGGCTCCCCTTCCGGGTCATCCGACATGTCCTCCCCGCTGGCCAACGTCGGGGCGTCATGCGTGTGGAAGGGACCCAGCAAGGAGCCCTCGGTGGAAGACGGGGGTTTGGGGTGGTCGATACTGTCGACCAACAGGGATAATCCGAGGACGTCCGATAGCAGGATGAATTCCTTTGCGAATTAGCCCTCGTTTCCTCTCATACAGACGAACAATGGTAGAGGAGCATCCCCCCCCCCCCAAAAGAAAAAAAAAATTGGCCGACAAAGAAGGACGAGATGTAGGAAAAAATAACCCAAAACCTACATGTCGGACATCGCTGCTGATCTGACCGCATCTGACAAGGAAATCGAGGGCGGCCATCCACTCATTTGTGCTTAGTCTCGTTTCGCGCGCGAAGTCGTGCAAGTGCGTCACCAGCCGCGACATGAGGTAGATCAACCTCGCATTGTCGCCTTGGGAATTGATCCGGATAGTGTTGGGCGTGATGTTGTCGCTGGTAAGATCCAACAGCGACGGGGCGTTTATGGTTTGTCCTTCCGCCGCTCCTTCTTTGCCGCTGCTGGCAGACGTCTTCTGTTGGTTCGCCATTCTTGTTGCAGTATGCAGGAGATGCAATTTTTTTCAATCACTTTTTTAAAAAGATGCCGAGAGGCGTCCGTTCCTGTTTTTAGTTTCGCTTTTGATGTTTTATAGTACTGAGCTCTCGAATATCAGACTACACCATGCCAGGATTTGGGTCGGCACCGGATTCGGCCGTCCAGGAGAGGGTTGATGACTTGAAATCCCTCCCTCTCGCGAGTCCAGATACTTGCGAGGCACCGGTCCCGATGAGAAAAAATGGACGCCCTTATTTATGTAATCCTCCATAATCATTATTATTACTACCATTTGACGCTAGATGGTTCGCAAGACATCACCGGCATTATCTCCGTCGCGATCCCTAGTCTGGGATTATGGTGGACGGAATGGGACGGCGGCAGATGGGACTGGGTCTCGGGTCAGTCTGGTGGTGGTTCCGGGGGGCAGGCGTTGTCTCCAATAAAGTCAGCGGCGGAGACGGAACAACTAAGGTGCCGGCCATTCGGCAGGTAGAAGCTACAGTTCCATAACCCTGCCCTTTTATCACATTCTATCACGTGAGCCACGGTATAGTGACCTCCTATTAGTTAGAGGTGCCCTACTATCCTCGCTTAGAAGGTGGTAGATGTATTTAGGACACGTATACCCGTCCCCTTTTTCTTTCTTTTTTATAGAAAAATATCATTATATATTTCCTAAATTAACGCTCCCTATAAGCACGCTCCCGTGAATTTAATAGTTATAAGCTCGGGTAATAGTAATAACTAATAACTTCCTACAAATCTATTATCTACGTTTATTTTTATATACTTCTATAGTATTACGGAGCCCTTCTACGCTATCTTTATTAATAATAAGCTTTTATTCGCTAAACCCTTACTTAATACTATATCGAATAAGCTCGAGATCACGGCTAAAACGCTTAATATCCCGCGCCTTAAATCCACGCGGTAATAGGCCGATTAGATCTTTTATATCTAGTCGTATACGTAAAGGATAAAGGTTTAGGTATTACTCGATCCTCGTTAAAAGGATTAGCTAAATAACCGTCCTAAGTATATTATACCTAAATCCCTAGATTAACTACGCGAATAGTATTCCTAAGGCGAGGGCGATAATACTATTATACCCTTAATATAGGAGCTTATACGCCTCGCCGAAATTAAGAACTAATAGACTATAGCCTAGAATTAAAAGCTTAGTCGCCTTATTAAGGCGTTTAATAAGGCTAATTAATTACTTAAAACTACTATAAAGACCTTTACTTATTAATAGGCTATCGAAGAGGCTATTAAGAAATATCCCGGCTATAACAAAGAAAAGTAAAACCGATACTTTATATTACGCTACGTAATAAAGGAATTTAAGATTAGCTTTACTCTGAGTAGTATTTATATAAAGGAAGAGGTAAGAGGAGTATACGAAAAGTATCTATAAAACGCTTATTAAGCTAATACTAAAATAGCTATATAGTATATAGAGTAGAATACCCTTATTAAACGCGTATATTAATAAAAGGTAACTAAGATTAAAGGACCTATTATTATTCGGCACTTCCTTATAGTAGTTAGATAGAAGTTTACGCGTATTTAGGCAGAAACTAAGCTTTAGGAGCTAATAATAAAAGAGGTCCGCGGCGATAAGATTTCCGATCTTCTAATATACGGCCGCGAGTTTAACGCTATTATAAGCGCTTTAACTATAGACGGTACGCGCTATAGTATTTATGCGACTCTAAAAGACTACTTAGATAATAATAAAGGCGGAAAGAAGCCTAAGAAAAAGAGTATAAATTACCCTTATCGACGCGAATATATATAAAAGCTAGAGTATTATATTAAGCTAGAGTATACTCTAACCGGAAAATACGAGTAAAGATCTAATACCTATATTAATAATAAGTGGTGTAAAGAGATAAGGAAGGAGATTAAGCTCCTAAAGTGGAAGAGCTTACGCGAAAAACTATTTGAAAAGGGATAGGAAAGCTCGGAGAGCGGTAATAGTAAGGGAGATAAGTATCTTAGGAAGGTTATTATAACTATCCTAGATCCCGCCTTTATCTATACTATAGAAAAGGTCCTTAGGATCTACGCCGCGCTCCGACCTAGCCTTTACCCGCTCTTATAAAGCACTCTTCTTAATAATTACGGCGTAACTCACCTTATTAACTTAATTAACCTATTTATTCTAGGTTCCTTTATTTTTATAAAAGGATCTATTAAATCCGGTATAACTAATTTTCTAATTATTAGTAAAAATAAACGGCTTTTTAAGAGAATTCTTAATAAACCTTTAGTTACTCCGAAAGCTAACTTAGAGCTTAATGATATAGTTATTATAAAGGGATTTTATATAAATATTATATCGGAAGCTCTATTATATAAGGTAGAGATCTAGTATTTAGGTTATAACTACTCGTTACGCTTTGAAACGGCGGAGAAAAGCGTAGTCTTATTAAAGCTACTTCGACGCTTTAATATAACTATCCTTTAGTATAAGCTAATTTTATCTTCTTCTTCTTATTCGTTATTCTAACTAATACTATATAGTATTATTCCAATTAACTATAACTATTAGTATATACTTATTATAGTAGTCGATCGACTAATAAGAGCTTACTAATATTACCGACCTTCCCGTGACCCTCCTTGTCCGCGAGTCGATAAAGAATAGTTATAGTATTTAAGAGTAGGCTATCTTAGACTAAGCGCTTTATAAGTATTAATTCGTAATACTAGGAACGTGTTAATTAAGGGAACTAAGCGGATAGACTATAAGATATACTCTAGAACCTAGGCACGTTAAGTTATATCTCGATATATATTAGAATACCGCTCCCTATAACCGTTTTAGCATATTTATTAGGATCTTTAAGAGCTACCTAAAAGCTATAAGGGTATACGATATTTTCTTATAATAAAGGACGAATATAGCGGCTAGATCTATATACTGCCTTTGGCTTTAAAAAATAGCGTTACGGTTTATAACGCGCTATAAGCCTTCGAATAATAGGTTAATCGGTAGTTTATATTATATATCTATAAGATACGTAGTAATAATAAACCCTTAAACGTTAATCTAGTAGGGGATTTAATAACCTAGCTATAGGCGAGTAGTTAAAGAATCGATATAGAAATTATACCGCCTTATACCTATAAACCGAATAAAGGTAGTAAGAGAGCCGGTTAACTAATTATTATAAATTCTAATGCTATACTTAACGGAGTAAGAATTCCCCTAGATAAATAGCCAGAAAGCACTAGAACGGTAGCGTTATTATATAATATAAGTCTCTTATAACGATATAGATACTATTCCTTAGTAAAAATCCTCGACTTATAGTTTAGAGATAATACGCCGATTCCGGTAAAAGAGTATATAGCCGACCTACGCCCTAATTGGAGTAGTATTTATGCCTATAGTTACTACGCCTATCTAATAATAAGAGATAGGGAGGCTAGGAGGAATAGGAAACTATATAAGGTTTAACTAAAGGGATATATTAAGTATCTTATAGGTTATATTACCTATAATATTTACCGAGTATAGATTTTATAGCTTTAGAAGGTTATTATAACGCGTAATATATAGTTTAACAAGTAGCTGTCTATAAACTATAGCTTAAAGAAGTAGAATAAATTCCGGAGCCTAAAATAAGGAACTAACATATAATTTACGAAATATCAGAAGATAAAGATAATGACTTTATCCTATAGACCTACCCTCCGGGTAGATTAATTAATAGCGTACCTTCTAGAGAATAAGTATAGTCCACGGGGTTAAACTCGGGGGTAGGAGTAGTAAACGCTAAATTAAACGCTTTATCGCTATTACTAGATACACCTAATACACCCGAACTGCCCGTAACAGGACTTTAAACCCTACACGTAATACCTAATCCTTAGAGTAGGAATCTTTAGGTTATAAGCGTAAAGCTATAATGTTTAGAGGAACTCTTAATTAATAATTCTTCTAATTAATAAGATAACGGAGCGGCTACCTAAGAAGATACTATAACCAATACGCTAGGATTATATATACTAGAGCTTAATACGGATACTTCGACGATTTTAACTATAGAAAGGAGTATATAGACGATAGTATAAGGACTAGCTACCCTTAATCCGTACCACGGTATTAGCTATACTATGGCGTCCGGATTTAGACTACCTATCCGACTAACTCCTAAGGTGACCGCCTATTAAAGGAAAAAGAGTATACTAGTAAAGGAAATAACGTGCGTAAGCGTAAAAATTACTAATTACAGTGCTTAAGGAAAGACTATTCGGATTAATCTACGGATATATTATATAGAGCCAGATATACCTTTAACTTATACTTTTTTTTCATCTAATTAATACGGAGAGCGCTAGGATAGGCTAAAAGGGCTTCTAACCTTTAATTTAATAATCCTCGGAGTAGCCGATACTAAAATAAATACCTATTCGAATACTAAAAAAAGGCTATAATATTACCGAAGCCCTTAATCGATAATAGGGTTTATTATAACCACCTAAAGGCTATACTAAGATATTAATAGAAGCTTACTAACTACCTGATATATAAACGGTTTAAGAAAGCCACGTAGAAAGAGGTAAATAAGCTAATTAAGAAGTGTATATAAAAGGAAATTAAACGCTTAGAGGCGAAGTTAAGGCCTTTTCCGTTAAAGTGGGTTTTTACCTATAAGTTCGACTAAGACGGATATCTTAAATAATATAAGGCACGCTTATATATTCGAGGGGACTTATAAGAGAGCTTAATAATTAAGTGAACCTACGTAATAATACTCTCTATATAATCTTTTCGTATTATTATAGCCCTAGCTACTTAGTTTAATCTAGACATTAAGTAACTTAATATCGTTAACGCCTTTATTAACGCCTAAAGGAGTAAAATAGGAACGCCCGTTATATATAAACTTTCTAATAGATTTAAGTAACCCGATAAGTGCTTAGAGCTTCTTAAAGTACTATATAGATTACGCGACTCGCCTAGGCTATAGTTTTAGACCTTCGCGGCCACCCTAATAGACTTAGAGATAGAGGCTAGTAAGGAAGAACCGTGCCTATTCTATACTAAGGCTTAAGACGTATTCGTTATCTTCTTTATAGATAATACTCTTATATTATTTTATAGAGATAGTGCTATAAATAGCCTTAGGATTATCGAAGGGTTTAAAATAAGGTTCGAGGTATTAGAAAAAGGGGAACCCGATTAGTTTTAAGGTATTAAGATTACTCGAGATCGCCCTTTATATAAGGTTTTCCTCTCCTATAACTTATATATCGAAAAGATCGTAGCTAGGTTTAAATTAAACGCTCTAAATACCTATTTAGTAATCTCTATTCCTATTATAGAATACCGGAAA